TATATATATATATATATATATATATAATACAGACTTAATAGGCCAATCATGTGCACTTTACACACTGACTGAAAGTAGTGTTGATGACCAATCACGTGTGATGACGGGTGGAGATGAAACTGTCCGGTTAACAGCAGGCGGAGTGGGTTAACGGCCTTTTAGGCTTTAGCAATTGTGAGTAAATCGTATGATAAAGAAAATTATATTATGTTTTTGAAGGCAGCATAATAAAGGGACCTCATAATTACTCTTACTTTAAAAAACATTCAACAAGGCAGCCGATCAACTAACACTGTCCTGCCAAAGGGTCAACCAACACATGACCATATGACAAGCAAACCTCCCAACCAGCAACATGACGACCAACAAATCTTTTGCGTCAACAATTCAGCCAACCAAACAACCAAACAACCGACACAACTCCTCAACATGGGACGGAAAAAAAAACTCGGAGAGGAAGGGAGCGAGGGATGAAATCAGCACCATATGAATGACATTCCAGCTAGTCTCAATTCTGGGTGTGTTGCTTGTTGTTGCTGGTGGTTTGGGAAGTCTGGGAGCCTCTGCTGATTTAGGTCTCATATTCTGACATTGTCCTGGCTCAACCCTTTGGTCTGAGTCATCCCCCTGCCGTCACTGCACTACAGATCAGACCCGCTGACTGACTGACAGACAGACAAATTCAAACATTAACAAGACACTTCATTCATCTTCAGGATATCTAAAGAGTATCTGTGTCTCTTTTCAATAGTCGGTTAATACTGGGGGCTTTGGCTTGATCACATCAGGGGCACTGAGCTGCAGGTGTCCTCATGAGGATTATTGTGTTATTCTGTCCAGGTGTCACCACATCTTAATGGAAGAACTGATCCATCTGAGACATTTTATCCAGGGATTAACCCTGAGTTATTGCTGCTGCATCATGGATGGGGATTCCCTCTGTACGTGCATGTGTGTGTGTGTGTGTATGTGTTTGAGGTATTGCGCACATACTTGAGTGTGGTTGCATGGATGCATGCATCTGTGTGTGTGTGTGTCTGCCTGTCTTGTCTGTGTCTATTGGCGTAAGTCTTTCCTGTTTTTAACTTTATTAACATTCCCTCTTCCTCTGGGAGTCATTTGAAGTCCCTTGATTAAAACCAGTGATCAGAACCCTAAACGCTGGAGGATTTTAGTCAAGGCAATAGGAATTTGAAGGCATGCAATCAAAATTGAAAGGAAAATATTGCATCTAATAAAACTGTAATGATCCCCATGTTGTATTGTTTATAGTTTTTTGTATTTGATTCTCAAAGCAGAAGTAAATTGAGTTATGCCCTTTAACATGTTTAATATACAGTGGGATCAAGGTAATTGGTCATGTTACAGAATGTGCTTTGATGTGTGTTTTGCCCAATTCAGACTTAAGCTCCACTGCTCTGTCCTGCTATTGGATCATTTTGGGTCGGTTCCTTTCAAATTAAGCTTCGATGGAGCAAAATGTGGAGCAACAATTTTTCTGACCGCAGATTGTGGACTGCAGTTCAGTTCTTTTCAGCTGAAGGTCAGTTTTTGAATAAAGCTAGTATGAGCATTGTGTGGAAATAGCTTAATGATCTGACTATAAAATCTCCATTAAATTACATCTTTTGACATTAATAACACTAATCATTCCAGGTAATGTGAAAAAACTCACTGAGAATGAACACCGGACTTTTGTGAATTGGGATTATTGTGATGAGTTGTTCCTGAATTCAGCAACATCTTATCACATATTGGTGTGTTTTAGTTAAAGTGCTGCAATCACCAATAAGGGTAAGGTATTGTGAGCGATGAATTTCCATTCAAATATTTCCAAATCTCTATGAAATCAGAGCTCATATTTCTTCTGAAAGCAGAAGAAATATGAGCTCTGATTGGCCAGTTGTTGGCTCAAAGCTTGAGAGACTCAGCTGGCTCGATGGCTTCTCTAATGTGCCAACAGCAGCGCAGACTACTGGGTATTTCTTAAGATAATGATGAATTAGTTTATGAAAAGCAACAATAATATGCCCTTTTCTATACTTGATAAATGTTCGTTGCAAATGGTAGTTTATATGAGGACACACACACACATACACACACACACACAAACACACACACATTATAGGCACACTTACACACATTCACACCTGGAAGCTGCCCAGTATAACCACAGTCTGATCTGTTGGCACTTGAGCATTTGGAGGTTAAGCTCCTCAGCACCTCAGCGGTGGTAACATGCTTGTTCCATGCTTGGCTCTTGTCCACATAAACCCAACAAAAACTGTCGGCACACCACTCGGTATTGTTGGCACGGTTGAAAATACTCGGTGCTTAAATTGAAAGCAGAAAAATGTGACTTTCTCTTGCTATTATTGGGTATACTTTTGCTTCTTGAATGAACATTGGCAAACGACATAAATAGGAAAAGATTGTAATAACCTTTTTGTAAGGTTGATAAAACAATCTCACCACAAGGTCCATTTGTATCTGTTCTCCAGCTTTCAATTGACCCCTTCGCTAAGTCACGCCCTCAAACGCCGACTGGCCAATCATAGCATGGCATCAGCCAGCTCTGACCAGGGTGCGAAAACTATCCGGACCGGCTCTGCTCCGTGGACTCACATGTTTCAGATTTTCTTCATGTTCAGGCTGGTTTTGTGGATTTGGAGCTAGTCGCATTAAAATGTTGTGTTAGAGTGATACTCGTTAACCGGAGATGTTGGAAGCCGATATAAGTTTCTAAAATGTTACATTTCTACCTGTGGAGCTAACATTAGCATAGTACGTTAGCACATCATTAACTAGCTTTAGCACTACTATGCTACGCTAGTTACTGACGGTATACTGAATGTAAACACATGCTGCTTTTACTGTTTAATGATTGTAACAGTGAATAAAGACCTACCTGGCTTTACAACATCATGGCTTTTGAGGTTGTGCAGTAGTACAAATATCTTGGCACTGTAATTGATGACAAGCTGACTTTCGAGCTTCACGTGGATGCTGTGTGTAGAAAATCCCATCAGCGCATGCACTCTTATTATAATGTTGACCATACCTTCATTAAAATGTTGTATTCCTGCTTCGAATCATTGAATCAGTCCCCACATTTTCCTTTCTCAGCTGGTACGGGTGACACACCCTCAAAAACAGAGACAGGGGTATTGCCAATGTGTGCAGCAAAACTGCAGGCACGACTGTGTGTACAAGGGTTTGGACTTTGAAGAAGGCCCAATCAATCCTGGCTGATCCGAGCCACTGTACAAGGACACGGATACAATCTGCCATGATGCAGCACCAACAGGCGCAAGAACTAATCCCTAATGCCCTTTAAGGCATTGAAGATCAGATTTAGATGTGCTATCCATGGTGCTGAAGCCAAGTACAAGGTCCGAGGGGTCACTGATGTCAAAAGATTTGTATTTGATGGAGGAAAGATTAAAAAAATAAAAGATAGGAGAGAGAGGGGATGGATTTGAACCTGTTGGGCTGACATTGTATGTGCCTGAACCAACTGACCCGCTAGGATACCCTTCATATTCGTTATGAATTTTCTCATGGGTGTGTTCTTTGATTGAATAAACCTCTGGATGGCTGACGACCTACACATTTTCACACAGACGTAGACAGTCTGGCACACACTCTTTGCTGACAGCTCATGCAGGAGATGACAGGGCCGGGTTACAGTAATAACCCTCACGCTATCTCACGCCCATGCGTCTGCAGCATAGCCTGTAAATCTCACTCTGTTATTGTTTTAATAACACTAATGTTAGCATTAGCCAAGTGGTAAAAACGTCAGACATCAAAAGCCAGAGACATCGGAGCTATGTCGGGGTGAAGACAAAGGGCGAGGACCCAGCTTGTGAAAATAGCTGGCCGTGCTGACTCAGCAGCAGAGGAGTGTGTGAGTGTGTGTGCATGCAAGCGTGTTAGCATTTTTTTAAATGCATGTGGGCACACATTTCTACGTCGATAGTGCTTCTACAAGAGTGCAAAACACTAAGCAACCGGACTGCACATAACAAAGACCTCCAGCTGCTCGGTAAAACTGAGCTCCATTTCCCCCAAACCGCAAAGTCTCGTAAAGCTAAGCACCCATAGTTAGCTTGACTTCTATATTGATGCCTCTGGTGCTGCTTATTGGGGGAAAGCACCCTGATACATTTTCCAACACATGACTTTGTTTTTCTGAATCAACAGCTCCACCCCTTTAAAAGACTGTCTGACGGAGATGCAGCATCACGAAACCATAGAGGACACGAATAAAGTCTCTCATCTGCAAACAGAGTGTCATGGAACATGTGAAGAGCAGCAGGCAGGAGCGAAAAACACAAGTCAGCAATCCGTGTCATTCACTGTAATAGTTCAAATCCATACCTACTGTGACATGGATTGGGCCATTGCTTTTCATAGCCTCCTGTGTTTTTACACATGTGAGTAATAAAATAAGTCGGTAAGTTCTGCACTTGTGCCAAATGGGCCTATTTTACGAACCACTGAGTGCAGCAAGCAAGTGAAGCTTCTCTGTCTATGCGTGTGTGTGTGTGTGTGTGTGAGTGTAGGTGTGTGTGTGTGTGTACGGATGTGCGTATATGTGTCGAGTGTGTGTGTGTGTGGGGGTCCAGTGGACGCCAAGCTTTCCATAATGTTTACTGACACAACACATTTTAATGGTTTCTTGTTCAGCGCCAAGAATTGAGAAATCAAGTCACTTCAAAAGGGTGGCACACTACGCTCGTCCATTGTTTACACTTATGGCTTCAGCTATTTAAATCTCAAACTGAGCAGGTCTATGGACGCCACAGCTGAATTGTTTGTGCAAGTGCAAGCTGTTGTGTGCATACAATCGTTCTCAAAAAAATTATTTTAGGGGACACGTGAACCATTTCCCTTAAAAAAAAAAGTGTTCGTTTTTGCAAAGACATGAAGGCCAATAAAATGGTACACTTTTGCAGTCAGTTAAAGAAAATATGGCAATGAAAACCATGTCAAAGCTAATTAGCTCCTTGTACACCTCAAGCCAAGTGTTTCTGCTGCAAACCCCAGATTTTATGTCAAACTCTCAGTTACGTTTGAACAATGAGCTGAAAGCCGTGTGAGGTCCCGGCGTACAGCACGAACGTGTGAACCCCAGCCATTCTCTGGCCATATGCCGGTGAACGCCCAAGTACAGACAATAGAGAAATAGTTTGGCTCCGAGTCCCAACTTTAAAACAGTTTCTCTCACTCGCGCGCACGTCGCAGGGCTTCATGGGAGACCCCATCGCCACAATGATCGAAACGGAGTAATGAAACACTCGTCATTACTCCCGTCCCATGCAGTCTGTTTCTTGTTTATTCTGCAGGTCGCGCTGCGCTGTGGTCCAAGTGTCTGCTGTGAGTTAGTGGCGCTGCAGCAGTGGGCGGCTCTTTTCTATACAGCCTATCAGTGTAATAAGTTGGTGGGCCGCTCTGACCGGAGCAGCGCGTGACTTCACTTTTTTTGGCCACAGTGGTGTTGAAGTTTCCAAAGATTGCGGAGATTATCAGATTGCACATCACAATGATATTACAGTCAGGGTGGCCTTTTCGTCGGGTTTCAGTGCAAGGTGGCTGTCATCTAATCCTCTTCACCGCAAACAATAGCACCAGCCTGAGTCGGGTAATGTCAATACACATGAAACACGGTTACAAAAGTAGTTTTTTTTTTATTAAAACATACACAGACATAAATAAAAAAACACTGAATGGAAAAAGAATCTATCAGATGAAGATCTTACAGGTATCTTGTAGAAGAAGCAATATATCCATATTGCTTTTGGCTAGGCAAGTGCACACAGAATTGTCAAAATCAAGATACATAAATATGGAATTTTAAATGAAGCCCATGTGTTTTAATAACAAAAAGCGTGTCTACTATTTCCTCTAAGTGCTGCATAATGAATGTCATACAGACATAAAATATAAATGATTTGTTACAGCCGAAAGGTCACTGTAACAATGAACTGTCTCTGTACTTCTATAGCTAATAAATAAATATTTAGTGCATATTCCCATTTACCTCACTGAAGAGCCAAATGAAAAACAAAACTTAAGTTAAAGATGAACCAAACTCAATTCGGCTCCTCTAGTTAAAGAAGACAAAAGTCTATTTGTGTAAGTTATGGTCAGACAGTCCAGCTATCTGCATCGTTTGTTGATCGTCATAAACATAACAAACAGATGTCATTCCCTCCCTGGTTTGACAAAATGACATTGTCGCGTAACTGCCTTCAATGAAGCAGGCCACTCTCAGATCTCTTTAAGACAAAAAAAACTGGAATGCAAGTTGAGTTTTTGGAGCACACACACACACACTCACACACACACACACACACACACACAAACATGACCTTCCTTTTAAACTGCGTTTGTTGCTTAAAGAAACAACGTCGGAGTCAGAGTGAATCTTTAGAGATGTTGAGGGTGATATAACTCACCGTCTAACGGCCTATTTCTAATTATACCGTTGAGTTACTTACTGCGAGGACGCCTCATCGCCCGCCTTGTTCACACTCACAAAACCTTGCCGGAAAACATTTGTGCATTCACTGCCGTGGGTCAGAGGCAGAACTGGGAGTTATTTTTATTCTGTGATAATCTGCTGAGTACAAGCAGATGCTGCATCAGCTACAACGCTCTTTTTGGACATCCCCCCCCCCGACAATCAACATTGATAAATCCCTTCTCACTGTACTTCTTGCCAACAAACTTACTTCCTAAGTCGCTCCCTCGTGATTTGTTTAATTAGTGCAACACATGTCTGTGCTTAAGTCTAAATGTTGTAATATGAACTGAAATGTATTGACGTTTCTCAACACCAACCACATACTTTTAAAAAAAGCAAGACAAGATGTTAAAAGGTGACGATCTTTTTCCACTATTTTTCTCATATATATGATTCGGCAATTTGGTGAAGAGCAATGTAAAAAAACCGACACATGAACGATACAAAAACGTTTGACAAGTCGACACTATAAATCGCTAACAGTGGTTCTTTGGCATATCAAATGTTCAGTAGCATGTCCGCTCCCCACGTGTTTCATTTTCAGTTACCCAACTTTATGGCCCCAAAATACGTCCCTTCTCCCTCCGGGTCCAGCATCCAAGCATTGGACACGTTGACGTACAAGGCGTCCCCCTCATCCAGCCGGACCCCTCGGCCCTGCTGGGCGCAGTACATGTTATAGGTCGTGATGTTCCAGCGCATGGTGCTGCCCGTCTTCATCAGCACCACAGACTTGCTGTTCTGTTTGATGCTCTCGTGGTAGACATACTGGATGAGCTGGGTGTTGCTAACATCCACCGGCGGGACCCCGGCCGGACTGCTTTCCTCCGGTCTGTAGTAGCGGAAGCAGGTCTTGGCGTAAATATAGTAGAAACCCGACTCCATCACCAGCAGTTTCCCCTTCTGGTAGCCCATTCTGTTGCGGTATCCGTGCTCCTCGTCCCAGTCAATGGTGATGGCCTTCGTTAGACCCTCTACATGGCAACAAGAGCAACATTAAACATAAGGTTTGGTTGATCATACACCAAACAAAAGAACAAGGTTTCTGTGTAAAGTCATTCAGAAGTTCTAAGTACCAAGCTGGTTTAAAACTAGTGATTCACTAAATCACGTTGTGTAGTATCGAGGAAACGTTGGTAGAATCACAAGCTGTTAAATAACTTCCATAATTTCTGTTGTTTACATAATTATTAAACAGCATTTAATCACGTCCAGTCAGATATGTTGACTGTAGTCCATATTAATACGTTTACTATTAATGGTTCATATGTCAGCGAGGTAACGTTTGCTGTCAGTTGGTTCAGTTAGATGCAGTTACTGCTTTTAAATATAAGTAACAACTGTGTGATGCAACTGTTTTAATTTGTGACTCGCCACTTATGTTATAACTAAGTTCACCCTGAACTTAGGAGGAGTTACATCAGATATGGCTAAATTGTATCTAGTGTGATAACATACGGATGTTAATTCAACCGGACTCACTCTTTGAGTACTCCTTGGTCTCTCCGATTGGTAGATGAGCTGATGGAAGGCTCTCTTTGAAGGTTTTGCACCGTCCTTTTTTCCTCGTGTCTCTCAGCGCGTTCAGCACCGGCTCCGTCTGTACTTCCTGAAGACAACACCAAAAAAAAACAGTTGAACATTCTCTGAAGAACAGAAAAACAAAACAACAATATCAAAAAACATTTTTGCATGAGTGTGTGTGTGTGTGTGTTATCCAACTCTGAGAAGTTGCCCAAACTGAAACTTACACCCTCAATTAAAAATGAACCCGCACGGTACCCATAAATGACTTTTTCTCTAAGCAACAATACGGTTTTGACATATGTTACAACATCTTTGTCAGCTGTCTCTTTGAATATCCGTCTGTTTGTGCGAAAATTGTGTGCGTGTGAACACAGCAAATGGATGAGCATACACCGACTGCCTGTCTGTGTGCATTACCTATCCTGCTAACTTCTCATTACCGCCGTGGTTGTACTCGGGGCCAAAGGCTGCGACAGGGAGGCCTCCTGGTGAGTGTAACCTTTCAGATAGATTGCGCTTCTCACGGATTTGGCACAAATAATATCTGGACTGCATTCAGCCCAGAGTGCCGATTCTATTCAAGGCCGATGAATCCGCCATCCACAGTCTGAGCTGGGCTGTCCTGCCTCAGGCAAGACAGAGCGTATACACTCAAGGAAAACATGCTTTCCACGCAAGTAAACAGTTCCTGCAGCGGAGCTGCCAACTCTCCTACACATCTGGCATGAGATGAAAATATCAGGCCGCTTTCTGCCTCTACCTATAATCTTTCACTCACACAAGAGAAATGATCTTGTTAACTTTGTTAGTTACTTAGAAGAAAGGCCTTGCAATATTTTAAGACACAATTTGGGATGCAGCCAGTCCATCTTTATTTAAGTGTGCGTGTGTACAGCAGATACAAATAAATGTGGTTAATTACAAATGTCAGTCAAATGTCAACAGATTGTGTCTTTGTGTCCTGAAGGTGTTTTGACATGTTTTATAAATTTCCTCTGATGCAATTTTAGAGGGAAACATTGCCAACTTAAAAAACAACACACACACACAACGCCCTCGAGCACAAACACTGCCACAACAAACTCAACTACAGGGCCGGTCCCATCAAAAGCATTTACATGTTTTTGCAACACTGCACCTGCGTTGTGCTAATAATATTACTGTGAAGTATTCACAAGCCAAGTCCAGACAGATTAGCATGCCTCTCCGACTAAGATTAGCACAGTCAGTCCTCCAAAAACAATTTGCTGTTTATAGCGCTGCGTCTTGGACGGAGACGGGGGGTAAACATCGTCTTGCCAAGGCTACAGAGTAATTGTGAACGCGCTCCCAATTGGCCCTACACTGTGGGATCTATCTTGATTTGTGGCGAGACCGCGTCATACCTCCTTAACCAGGGAGAAGAGATTATTTAGACAAAGTAGCTGCAGCTTGGCAGCTTCCTGATCTACTGTGTGATCTAGAATTAAACTGTGACAACCAATCTGCACCAGACGGAGCTGCTCCATCAAGGCGAACTGTCTGACTCTACATCTGTGTATATATATATATATATATATATATATATACACATACATATGACTTGACCTCACATGCTTGTTCCCTGAATACCACAGTGCACGCAGGCCTCAGTTCAGCCCTTTAACTACCGTACGCACCGCTCAACATCTCCATTATGTTGATGAGTGGTTTCGGAGACGAGAACAAAAGTCCTCTCACCACTCGAGGCTCGGCCACCGAAGCAGATCGTCCCTTTGTGTTTGGCGCTGCGTCAGTCAGATCTCCTTCTGACACGGTTATACAGATCTGTACGGACTGCAAACATTCAGATCACAGAGTCTGATTCGTGATCTCACCCCTCCCGAGACTCTCGGCCGTCTCACATCAAAGCTGGACTGCAGAGCTGACAGCTGTCCACTGAGGCCATGCTGTCGAGCAAAACCCCTGAACTGACAGCGGAGAACACCGGCGGTCTCGGGGCTGACCCTAACACAACACAGTGGTGTGCCAAGTGGGCCTGTCACCCCGACACCTCATAAAGATCCCAGCAAGTCTCCCTGCGCTCCATGGGAAACAGCCGAGGGCTAACGGCAACAATGAGCTCCTCAGTCTAAGACCGGCTGGGTGGTTTGTGTAAAGTACTCCACCAGGGACACCCAGGGCAAACACAAATACATAATATGAGAATGAAATTAAAGCATTATGGGAAACCAAACACCAGTGAAGCACAGCAGTCCTTTTATTCTGTTGTTTTACTTCCTGGTTCCATAGTTTCCTTATTTTTGCATTTGCTCTGCAAAACCTGTGCCAAAGAATGGGCGGCAACTTCCAAAAAGGGATTAGAAACTAAATCAATAATAATTCCTATTTTATAACTCCCTCATGCCACTGCTGATCATCGAAGGAATACTCTGCAACCACTGTCGCCAATGGGTGACTCACTAACAGCCGATGCAGTAAACTACTTTCTGTGCACAGTGTCAGTAAGCGATGAGGCTCGTTTGGGAAAGAAGCTAATTGCCTCTTTAACAAAAGGCAGAAAGGTGTTTTTCCTGCTGTGGTCGGACCTCTTTCCCAGCCTGTGTGACCACCACCTGGGGTTTGGTGCTTTGCAGACAGAAGCTGTGGTATGTGCTGAAAACGCACCCGTGGGGGAAAATCATGACTTCTGTCAGTGCAAACTTGCAGATGATTATCTTATGTATTTTATGCTTTTTTCCCCAAAAACTAAAGCCAAGTCGTTGCACGTACTGTACTTTGCCCTTGACAGTGTCAGCGAGGAAATACCTGGTACGCTTCAAAACATTCTTAAAGCGGATTACTGTTGTCTCGGAGATGTTTTGTTTGGCTCTCCAACTTTGTTTCCCCATAGTTTCCTTTAGTGACACATCAACGACTGATCGATCAATCAAAGTCTGCTCACATTGAGTTTGTTGAAGTAGAAATTGAAATAATGGCAATTAGTGCTGATGATTAATAATCAATAACAAGATGATTTACACAGCAGGAGTCCTGCCATTAATATCAAAGACTTCAGGTCTGTGTGTGTGTGTGTCCGAGTGTTTGTGTGTGTGTGTGTGTGTCCGTGTGGCGTCGTAGCAGGAAGAAAAACCTGTTAAAATGCACTCTATCCGAGTGGACTGTGCACCAGTCAGAGGGCGTGTCGTGCAGCAGTGTTGCCTGGGGTTAACCAGCGGTCACACTCACCTCTATTGGCCGATGTGGGGCTGTGGACAAATCTACCTGGAGACAGAAACACAGGAGCCAAGGTTAGAGAGGTCGATGTGAGAAAATAATACCAGAGTTAAGCCTTCTCAAACCAGCAAGATCTGTTGGGAGAATTTCAACCTGACAGGTGTGGGTGGGAGGAATATTTGACAAGACTTACAGAAAGACATTTCAGTTTGGACGTGCGCGCGTGTGTGTGTGTGTGTGTGTGTGTGTGTGTGTGTGTGTGTGTGTGTGTGTGTGTGTGTGGGAGGTTAAGTTATTTTCCACATGCATTCCACCACAGCAGGCGAAAGTCAAAGGGACTTGGAAGCTGAGCGCTGGTTCTCATTAGCAGGGCTGTTGTCTCTGAATAATTTAACATCAAATACATTTAACAAAATAAATGGCCACGGGGCTTTCATGCATGCGCACGGCCTGATGCACAAAGACGAGCTGGAATCAGAGTCAACGTTTCTAAAACCTGCTCCGATCAGCACATTATGGAGACACGGCGCTGTGCCGATTCCAGCTCTCCTCCAACATCTCCAGGAAGTTCTACAGGTGCTGAAGGGGGCAGATGATGGTCCGGTGACAAACTCCACTCCCCCCCTACACACACACACACACCTACTGTCTCACGCTGAAAAGTGCTACCATATGCAGCCGACATGGAAATCGGAAAAAAGGCTGCCTGTTAATCCGAAGCACGGCTCCAACTTCGGCCAACCGGAAGGCATCTCATGCTGCTGGGTATTCGAGGAACACTCTGATCGCTCCCTAAAAAAGTCTGGTCCTGCATCCCTCTCATCACACGATCAGATAAAACGCACACGTTATTACACAAATACAAATAGAGCCATGAAATGTCTCTTTTTACAATTGCCTTTAATTTTCTCTGGGTATTTTTTATTTTTTTTTTTACTCTTTAGCCTTCCTCTCTTTTTTTTTTTTTTTCCCCCCCCCCCCCCCCCTCCGGCTCACATCCAGAACATAACCAGCCACTACCACACTGCAGTGTGTTTATGCCAAAGACAAGCCAAAGAAATTCAACACACAAACACTGGGGAAGAGACAGAAGCAAACAGACAGAGAGCGAGAGAGCGAGAGAGAGAGAGAGAGAGAGAGAGAGATGCTCCCCAGGTGAACTTCCAGCATCCTGACAGAGCCTGGATGCGGTCTGCTCTCTTGGCTTGTTGAAACGCGACAATTATTCAACTCCCAAAAACAGTTGTGGCAGAACATAGATGTTATTTTACAAGCTCACAGACTGAAATATGGCAAAGATGAGCTGACAAAAAGGCAATGGGACATGCAGGAACATTTGTATTTTCATAGTATCGCTGGTCTTCCTTGAGCTTTGCCAGACATTCTCTGCCTCCAAACTCCTTGAAAACAGCTCTGCTTATGCTCGAGAGTTTACAACTTATGACACATATATAAATTACAAATATACGCCCCCCGATGGCATGTAAACACGCACAAGAAAAACTGCAGCCTGGGAGGCTCAAGTGAAAACATCTGCATTTTGCAAACATTGACATCTCGCAAGACCGACTGAGATGTTATCACTTCAAAAGGGGGATTCGCGATGCTTTGACTCGAGCTGCCTGCAGCCCCTGAGAGAAAATATCTTGCTGAAATAGCTAATCTTTGGAAAATGTCACGCGGGCTTTTTGGAGATGTTATCTATAGGTGTTCGTACAGCGAGGGAAGACGTTTTTAACTGCCTGCGGCTGAAGCGCAGCGCCTTCAAAAGAGTGCACGAAATCTTGGCGCACAAAACTGCAGAAGTTGCTCGATGTTGAGGCTTTTTTCCTTTCTTTTTATTTTTTTTCACTTGTGCAGATTACTCCTTCTTTACATCTAAGAGCGCACGCCGCCAGCTTTTATGTAGAGATAGGAAACTTACCTATCTGTCACTTTATGGCGTTATAAAATTGCGCAAGCGTTGTTGCATCTTAACTCGCTCGTAGCCCACTAGAGAACTGTTGACAGTGTTTGTAGATAAATATTTACACGCGGAACCAAAGCTTGAGTAAACGGCAGTGAGTGAGTTTGCAAAGTGTCTCAAAGCGCACTGGAAATGAGCCTCCAAAGCGGAGCACGCAGTGTCACATGGAGCCTACCTCTTGCAGGTAACCCGTCAGGTGTAATAAGATCGCCACGCTGGAAGCCACCTGAAGCAATCCCATAACAGCGAGGGTCCCGAATAGGAGCGGCCGGTAAGTGGGCTCCGAGCTCTGCACCGGGTGGAAGCGGTGCTGCCCTGCCTCGATGTCGACGGTGTTCCGCAGGTAGCCTCTGTACTCGCTGTGGGTAGCTGCCATGGTGCGCGCTCTGTGTGTGCCGTTCAGCCCCAGGGCCAGGTCCCAGACTCAATGCAAGGCAGGAAAGAGAGTCTGCGAGAGTCCCTATAATCAGCGGTGGGTGGGCTGAAAAGAGTTCGTTTTCTCTGCAGCCAATCAGAGGGAGCCTCAGACAGAGCGACTGGACAGACTGGAACAAGACTGGCAACCGGGCCGACATGAACGGACGACAGGTAAAGCGAGTCCTTTATGGCTCCACGGGGCCAACGCACTGACACGTGATCCACCCCCTGCGCTGACGCTGAGAGAGTTCAGCAGCACAACTGGAGATGCAGTGGATCTATTTAATACGAGTACTAAATAGTACTCGTATTAATAAGTAATAATACTCATACGAGTAATCAGTTTACAGCCTATAAACACAGAAACAAACAAAAATATGTTTAGGTTAAAATAAAAGGAAGAAAAATGATATAGTTATAAAAATGTTATTAATTTGAAACCAGAGTTTGAATTCAAAAATTCAGAAATATTATTTACATAAACAATTTACATAATAATCTGATTATTTTTCCACACAAAAAAAAGTCAATGAACTTCAAAATCTTAAAATGACATCAACTCCCCTTATTGCAAAATACAGAATGTTTGAATATGCAAATATTGTTTACTACAAAGGCGTCTCCTTCAAAAAGTCCATCCTTAGTGTGTGTGCACTGGAGGTTTGAAGTGTCTGCATCAGTGGATACTTCCATCTTCAGCAGTGAAACCATCTCTAGTGTCAAACTCTGTGAAGCTCAAACATCCAAGTGAAGTAACAATAAAGAAAACATATTTTAAAGCTTTGTGTTGTAAATGCATGCATCTCAATAATAATATAATACAGATTCCTTCACACTGGCAGTTGGTCACATAATTACCATTGTTTGCTCCTTTTGTTTTGGGATCAGTGACTCTTTACTCATCACGTGCTGGTGTGGCAGCTTAGAGCTCCAGAGTCAATGTTTGTCTCCTGCTCAGCTCTTAGTCATATCAGACAAAAGCGGAATTCTGATATATGAAAATGCATTTTTACTCATTTTAAGCGTACTTCATCCAGTAGACTTTATTGTCGTCATGTCATTCAAGGAAGCGTGTTTTTTTTTGATAGCTGCCTCAGTCCGGACCAGCATAACTGATGCAGCCTTAGATCAAAACACTCTTCTGTTAAGTATCTAGAAAGAGTTAATCATGCATTTTTCACATTCTATTGTAATGCACTGAATGGTAAGTCCCTGGCAGCCGTCCAGCAGCAGCTGAAGACAGGAAGCGTGTCATTCCACTCCTCAAACTCCTCCCATCACTTCTTGTAAATGTGTGGATGGATTAAATATTTGTTAGTTTAAAGGAGCAGTGTGTTAGATTGAAGGGGATTTATTGACAGACATTGAAGATAATATTCATATGTTTTAGTGTTTTTCACTATGTTTTAATGTGTGTAATCACCTAAAACTAAGAAATCTTTGTGCTTTCGTTAGCTTCGATCGAGCCGTTTATATCTTCGGGAGTGGGTCCTCAGAGTCCGCCATGTTGCACCGCCATGTTCCTACTGTAGCCCGGAAAGGACAAACCAAACACTGGCTCTTTGTGCATTACCTGAAGGCCGCTGTAGTTCTCCAACACGCTTGTAAAGGGAGAGATGAGCTGTGGGGTAGTTGGTTGAAATCTGCACGCTCACCACTAGATGCCACTAAATCTTACTCACTGGGTCTTGCTAAAGACCCTTTAATTCTTGACAAGGCAGTGTGTCCCCATCCTCACATGATGAAAAAACTGAAAACTAATAAGTCAAGTCATGTTTACTTGTGGACATCAATTTCACTTATAACTGCAGCCAGTTATCTTAGCTGAGACTACAGACTGAAAAGGGGAAAAATGTTGTGCCTGGCTTTGTCCAGATGTGACTAAATCAGTTTACAAGCACCTCTATAACTCACTTATTTACTGAAGTATGAAAACAACAAATGTTGACAGCCAGCAAGCAGCAGAGACTTCAGGAAGTCCCTGCAACCTGTGGACAGAGCCAGGCTGTTCCCTATGCTAAGCTAAGCTAACCGGGTGGTGGCTTTAGATAATGTTTTGTACTAACATGATCTGAGAGATATCAGTCTTCTAATATAACTCTCAGCAAGAATTCTCAAAATGTTGAAGTATTCCTTCAATGCACACGTGTCAAACTCAAGGCCCGCGGGTCGAATCCGGCCCACCACGTCATTTTATGTGGCCCGCGAATGAACCAGCAAAAAAAAATATATATATATATATATTTTTTATTTTGGAATAAAAATAGTTAGACTTGAAAATAAAAGTATCCTCATGGTCGAAATTATGAGATAGAAAGTTGAAATTCTGAGATAGCATGTTGTCTGTGTACCGACATTAAAACTATCACAACAGGTGGACAGGAGAGGGAACAGCCCGTAAAGAGGTTTTCCAACAAGTGACTGAGTTGAAAAAGATCGACAAATAATCCCAAAATGTCCACGAAGACAAAAATTGATGCAGAGGGAAGAAGATGTAATTTAAGATGGGAAAGCGAATACATGTTTGTGCTTCAAGGAGAAAAACGGTCTGTCTTCTGTGCTATGATGCGTGTCGGTGATGAAGGATACAATTCACGTCGGCATTTTGACACCAAACACGGAGCTAAATTTAGCCTCCAAGAAAAACATCAAATTGTCCAAGAATTAAAAGGCAGAGTGCAATCACAGCAGAATACATTTACAAAAGCTACAGCCCAGTGCATGCTAAAGGTATGTGAGCAGGTGAGCTCCAATCAGATACAGACTTTTACAAATGTCAGTTTGTGAAGAAACACCATCGCAGACCGAGTTCAGGAACTAGCAGCAATCTAACAACACAGCTAGCTAAGAGACGAGCAGGTACTGGTCTTCTTCATTAGCTGTTGATGAAAGCACAGACAACACGGATACAGAGCATCTATCAGTGTTTATAAGTCCTGACTCTCAGTGAGGAGCTCTTGGATGTAGCTGCCATGCACGGGACGACGGCAGGGACATTAGTGATGCAGAGAGGTGACAACAATAGCTTTGAACAAAGTTAATGTAATAACTTGTGTTTGATGATATTTGTCTTTGTTATTTTCTTTAAAAGATTGATCTTTGATAGAGTAATGAGGGTTTCTTAACCCTAAATTTAAATTATTTATTATTTATTTATAATAACAGAAATGTGCTTAAATATCATTTTACATTTATATAACTGCATGTACAATATTTTTACACTTGAATAAACAATAATCAAATGCAGAGAGTTATTTAACAATATGTTAGGAGTAGTTACGGGCCTTTGAGGGAAACTATGATGCTGATGTGGCCCAGAGTGAAAATGAGTTTGACACCCCTGCTTTAATGTATCCTTTATCCTTTAAAATAATGAATTAATGAATTAATCCCTTTAGCTCTTTATTTTCTACTTAAAATCGACAGTATATTCAGATTTGTCTTATTTCCTGTGTTTTACTAAAGTGGAAGTTGTGTTATTGAATATAGTAACATTGATACAGTTTTTCCCTCCTGTTTAAGCTGACCATTAAAAGTTCCCTTCTTGACATGCTCTCAACATGAGGCTTCAGTAGTCTGAATTAGTCAAATAAATTAACACAAAGAGAGAATTTCAAGCTTAAAAGTCTGTAAAAAAAAAAAGATATCCGCTTGATTTGATTTCAATTCATATATGGGTAACATTGTGTGTCCTTTAACCTAATAATATAATAATAATAATATAATAACTTGTGCTAAAAATGGCTCAGATAGAATTACAAATGCAATGCTTTTTTACACAGTCACCATGACAGGGCGAATCTTATCAGTAACCGTCCTATCTGTCAGTCCCTTTGCACATCAGTGATGCTCTCCAACGTGGAAATCATCTTTCTTCGTGGTAAAGTGGTCAAAAAAACAATCTTTCAACTTTTACTTAAAAAAGTCCATGAAATAGCATCTGCTTTACAAAGACAGCAAAGACAGCCCTCGTCATTACTTCATTTCAGATCTTTGAACACAGATGACAGAGCAAACCTGGATTTCCACTATTAACAAAAAGTGAAGAAACTATTACAGAAGAACACGAAACGTCATGCTGAGTCATATTGTGTGTGTGCGTTTGTCTCACCACAAATGTTCCTAACAAGCCTTTCCACATGAACACACAGATGTTATTTCCTCTCACCTTCAGTTATTCTTTCATGAGTTGAAGCTGCGTCTTACCTCAGTCTTCTGCATAAATATTATCCCATTGTTTAGCGAGGTTACACCTAACCAGACAACCTAACCAGACAACGTGACCACGTGACATTACAACGTAATGTTAAAGAGTAACGTGACAACAAAACATTACAACCGTACCAAAATATTTAGCGTGAATGAATAACAACCTTCCTTATTAGACTTTCTTACGATACTTTTGTTTGACTTTTCCATTGCTTGTATTATCAATTGTAGTTTTGCGGACTGACATTTTAAAGAATCTAGGTCAATAGTGTGTCCCACTAATGTCGATTCTCTCTGACCAATCAGTGGTCTGCAGTGTTATAACTCCACCTTCTAGTATTGGCTGAGCTCGCTTGGATCCTCGACTGAGGTGGTACCAAAATAAGTACCAGGTACCAGTTACTATCCACAACTTTTGCAAATGGAAAACCAAAAAGGAGTGAGCAGAGCTGAGTAGAGCTTTACCTTACCATGCAGTGGAAGGGTGGCACAAAGCTACAGCCAGTTAGCTTAGCTTAGCATTAAGACTTGGAACCGTGGGAACTAGTGTGTTCTGTCCAGAAGTAAGCAGGATTATTTCTTGACCAGGCATAGTGACTATAAAGGGCAACCAGCAGAGCTGCCAGCAAGACTCTCTGGCCCAGCTTGGTCATGTATAGTCATTTAGTCATTTTGTGTTTTCCCAGAAAACAGCAACCTGCTGCAGCTGGAAACACGGCTGGTGAGAGTGAACCAGCACAGTAAAGTCCGTTAAACCAAAACAATGCGTTGAAAGATGGTAAAGCGCTCTGTTGAGCTGCAAGAAACTGATTATTCTCTAAGGGTTTGTCAATAAGAGCGATACACACATTCATATGATCATATGATCCAGAAATATTTAAATATTTGAATGAACTGTGCAAGAATTCGTCTGTGCTAGAATGGC